TAACATTGGGAGGCCCATATATGCCTTGATTTCACTACTGACCGGGGCCCAAATTTTTAGCACACATTTTAGCCCATTTCTGGGATGGCCAAGATTATCTCCAACATTGAGGCCCACATGTGCCCACCATTTCACATTATATGCAGGTAATCCACACTTAGTCCCTTTTATATGGCCTGAGTGAGGGTTTGGCTGCAGTGGGGCTGTCAACACTCAAGTAAATTTAACTAAAGTATAAACATGATTACAAATACATTTTGTTCATTAAAAATCAGACAGCATCCTAGCCATCAACAAAAATTCAAGTTAGTTGTAAACCATAATCAGCATCCAAAGCTTGAAGTGTCCACAGATATGGCTCACCAAGGTTTCATTTGCGTGTGAGGTACACACTCCATGCTGCAGAAGATATCCAATAACCTCAGAAACCTTCTGACTGCACAAACCTCAACCAAATACACTATAATGGGTGTCCCACTCAGAGGGAAGTTCAAACCCAGGTTTCCCCGTGTATTCCCCAAATGTAAACCAAGTGTGCCACTAACACAGACTCAAAGAGAACCTAAATGCAAAACTAATGTGACGCTAGAATACAAACTAAAGGGTTTAAGGAGCATGCCTGAAGTGCATACAAAGACTGAGCAAGACTGAAACAAGGCTTTGCTTTTAAATAGGCTTAAATGGGGACATACCCAAGGAGGAGTACCATAGAGTGTTGTGGGCATACTCAGCCCCGATAAGATGCTTGGACCAGGAGGAGGGATTGGATGAGGCCATCCAGTTGACAAATTGGATCAGGATGAGGCCATCCAGTTGACACAAGCCCCCCAGAACTGACTGTCAAACTGAGGACCTTGTTCAGACACTATATCTGATGATAACCTGTTGATCTGAACTCCGGAGGAGTAGGACTGCATTCTCCTTAGCAAAAGGGAGTGCCAGTAAAGCCAATTTGCAGGCTTTGGAGAACTTTGGTTGTGGGCAACCCCATGACAAAATCCTTTGAGAGGTGGGACCACGGACGTGAACGAATGGGTAGGGGGTAGAGAAACTTGCTCGTCTTGCTCATAGGTTCCTTGTTACGAGCACAGACTTGGTAAGCCTGCACATCTTGTTCAATGCAGGGACATGAGAACCACCTTCTAAGGAACTCCATGATATGGGTAACACCTGGATGAGCCGCAAATGACGAGGTGTGCCCCCACTGAAAACCCTTTGACACAAAGAGCTGGTCTGGTGGTCTCCCACAAGGGTCAGGCTCCCTCTGGAGTACATCCTGAATGGTCCTTTCTAACTCCCACCAGATTGGTGCCATGACTCCGTGAGCTGGAGATTATGGTCTCAGGAGAGTGATCAAGGCGTGGACACTCCAGTGACAGGAAATGGCAGGAGTGAGAAAATGAGAAAAGAAAGCACAGGGGTGTCATTTTTCTTTAGGGCCAGACTGCTGGGAGAGGATGGTACCTACACCAATATCACAGACATTGACCTCAACAAGAAGGGGAGTTCAGGATCTGGGAGCTGCAGGACTGGGTCTGTGGACAGCTGATGTTTAAGCTCCTCAAAAGCCTTCTGGGTTTCTGGTGTCCACTGAAACAGCCGCACTGCATTTTTGGTGAGGGCAATTAAAGGTGCAGCCACTATGCTAAAATTTCTGATGAACTGCTCAAAGAAATTTGCGAAGCCAAGAAAGCGAGATGAGAAAGCAAGGCGCAGAGTTGTGGGAAGGGGCCATTCTCTAACTGCCATGGTCTTGGCCGGGTCCATACTTAGTTGACCCTGGGAGAAAACAAAGCCCAAGAAAGTCACCCATTGTGCGTGGAAGAGAGATTTCTCCAAGTTAACATTAAGATTGTTTTCCAAGAGCAGCTGGAGAATTCTTTTCACATGCTCAATGTGTTCATCTATGTCATCCAAGCTTTCAGTGCTTCAAAAGCAGTATTCATAAGGAGTAAGGATAAGTCCTTGATACTGAACTTGTTAAGTTCCCAATAGTCAATACAAGGTCAAAGATCTCCATTCTTTTTCCCCCACAAAAAAGAACCCGGCTCTTACTGGTGAGTTAAAAGGAAATCTCAGGCCAATGACTTCTGAATATAGTCCTCTATGGCCTTCTTCTTTGGGCCAGTCAAGGAGAACAGATGGCCCTGGGGAGGGCTAGTCCCAGTGAAGAGAACAATGGCGCAGTCATATGGTCTGTGAGCTGGCAGTTAGGCTTTTTGTTAACTAAAGACCTCCTGAAGGTCAGTGGGGACACAAGATAAATTGGGACCTCCAGCTGCCAGAGAGGTCTTGGCTTTCAGGTTGGAGGGTTTAAGACACTGACCCTGGCACTGGGGTCTCCAGGCCACCACAGACCGATATAACCAGTCAAAAGTGGGGTTGTAGGGTTGCAGCCAGGGGAACCCCAGCACCAGCTGCAGTTCGGGTGCGCTTATAAGGTGCAAAGAAATTTCTCCTGAGTGCTGCCCAATTTGTAGTGTATGCGAAGGAGGCAGGGACCAGAATCCCCTCCACCCACAGGGTTGTCAAACACATAGCGCAAAGAATAGTGAGCATTGAAGTAGGAAGCTACTCCATGGATCCCCTGCGTGCCTTTCAAGAGGGGTTAGTTGGGGTTCGGGCCAGGGGCTCTGTTCACCAGTGGTCTGGTGGGCTGGTTGAGGAGCAGGTGTAGGAGCCGCAGGGGGTGCTACTGCAGAATGTGCTTCAACAGGACCAGTCTGCAGAGCTAGGGTTAATGTCTGCAACTGAGTCAGAATCTGTCTACCAACCATAGCACGCTGATTGGCCAGAGCTGTTCTGAGTTGTTGCAATTTCACACTTAACAAAGATCAGAACGTCAGAACGTAACAGACTTTCTTATCACAACTGTCTATTTTCCTCTCCTTCCACCACAATGGAGGTGGAAAAGGGTGCATGGGAGCGCTCTTTAAACAATGGGCTCGAAAACGGGAGAACTTGAATTCCCACCTAAACACTACAGCGGGAGGGAGAGCAAAGGACTACATGGGAAATAGACTAGCATAAAATGAACACCAACTGAAGGTTCCTTAACTAACAATTTATTTAATTTCACACCTAACAAACATAGTAAGAACGTAACAGACTTTATCACAACTCTTTATTTTCTTCCCCCATTTTTTTTTAATAACAAACAGTGCAGCTACTCAAGAGGAAGACAAAAGGTCTCAAGAAGCTAGAAGAGAAAACAACATGCGAGAGAAAAACCCTCTGGTCTCTACCCAAGATACCGGTCAAGTCATTTGCAAGAACTTCATACAAAGACTGAGCAAGGCTAAAACTGAGCCGTGCTCTTAAATAGGCCGCCCCACAGGTGTAGTGGATCTCCCCTGACTAGGAGAAGCCCCACTCTGCCCTCTGGTGGCTGACATGGGTCGAGCTCTGGTCCTGGCCCTTACGCACATGCTTTCAGGACTGGGATAGGGCCTGCTACTATGAAAAATAAAATGAAAAAAACAATAAACACAAATTTTAAATCTTAAAAATAAATAAATGAATGTAAAATACTAATAATTTATTTTTTATTTATTTTCCATGTTGTTAAACACAAACATACAAAGCACACACACACAAACACACACAAAAGTCCAATTATTGTCTCATTTTGCAGTCATATTTGACAACTTAAATATTTGTGTCAATAATGTCATATGAGAGTAATGTTCTGAAGTGACGTTCTGAAGTCACTGATGGTGTGTTGGAGCTTGTGCAGCAGATGGAGCAACTACAGTGCCTGATGTCAAAGACTGCAGCTGCCTTGCTCCCGTGAGATTTTAATGTGATATGACGTGATGTTCTGCAGCTGCGACAAAAGTTGGACAAAATGTCTAACCAGTATGCATTGTTTAAAGTCCATGCATCACTGCAAATGGCCACATTAAGTCAATCACAATCAAAGTTTTCATGCTGGTCAAGCAGGGGCACACCTGATTCCAGTTCTTTAATAAGTTGATTTAAGTCTTCAATCAGCTGATTAGTTATTAAGATGTGCTCCTGCTTGGTAGGAATGAAAACCTAGACAATCTACTGATGGGAACACTTGTTCTTTTAAAATAAAGTTGGCTGATTGTTTTGGGGAAGGGGCATCTATGCAACTTGAGAAAATAAATTTGATTTAATGATCAGTGCTTGCATGGACCTTCAAGGTCATGACTTAATTTTAGAAAGCAATATAATCTTATTGTGGTTTCGGTGGTGAAGAAGAGACAGAAGAAGCCATTATTTCTGCTAAAGGAAATGCTCTTTTGTTGAAAAAAACAGAAAAGACAACCGGATTACAGTGAGAACAAGGGAGAAGATCATTTCCAACCATAACACATAACTCTACAGTAGACTCTAAACCAACACCAACTAACCCCCAGCCCAACAAAATAAAACACAGACATCTATAAACTGGCTGGCAGATGGCACGTAGCACTCCCCTTAAGGGTCGGCCAAACTGGCGGCCCCATAGTCTGAACATGTGGCAGGGCATCCAGGCCATCACCAATTACAAGTCACCTCCACCTGCTCGTGACAATGATGCCTCCCTTCCAGATGCGCTAAACAACTTCTATGCTTGGTTTGAAGCACAGAATGTCATGACGGCGAGGAAAACCACACCTCCTCCAAGTGAACAGGTACTGTGTCTGTCCATAGCTGATGTGCAAAGAACTCTACACAGAGTCAACCCACGAAAAGCTCCAGGATCTGACAGCATACCGGGCAGAGTGCTCAGAGAATGCGCTGAACAGTTGATGTTCTCTCGGACATATTCAACATCTCTCTGAGCACTGCAGTCATTCCAACATGCTTCAAGTCCACCATTATCATCCCTGTGCCGAAGAAGTCTCCAGTGTCCTTCCTCAATGACTACCGTCCCATTGCACTCACTCCAATCATCATGAAGTGCTTTGAGAGGCTTGTCATGAGGCACATTAAAGACCAGCTTCCTCCTTCACTGGACCCAGTGCAATTTGCATAATCGCCCCAACCGCTCAATAGATGACGCCATCTCCACCACACTCCGCCTGCCTCTCACCCACTTGGACAATAAAAACACTTATGTCAGAATATTGTTCATAGACTTCAGTTCGGCATTCAACACCATCATCCCTCAGCAGCTGATTGGAAAACTGAGCCTGCTGGGCCTGAACGCCTCCCTCTGTAACTGGGTCCTGGATTTCCTGACTAAGAGACCTCAGTTAGTCAGGATAGGTAACAACATCTCCAGCACCACCATACTGAGCACCGGTGCCCCTCAGGGATGTGTGCTCAATCCGCTGCTGTTTACCCTGCTGACTCATGACTGTACTGCAAAGTACAGCTCAAATCACATCATCAAGTTTGCTGATAACACGATTGTGGTGGGTCTGATCAGCAAGAATGATGAGTCAGCGTACAGAGAGGAGGTGCAGCGGCTAACAGACTGGTGCGGAACCAACAACCTGTCTCTGAATGTAGACAAAACTAAGGAGATGGTTGTTGACTTTGGAAGAGTGCGTGGTGAGAACCCCCCGCTTAACATCACCGGCTCTGCTGTGGAAATCGTCCAGAGCACCAAGTTCCTCGGTGTCCACATCACAGAGAACCTCACCTGGTGCCTCAACACCAACTCCATAGCCAAGAGAGCCCAGCAGCGCCTCTACTTCCTACGGAGACTGAAGAAAGCTCATCTCCCCCCTCCCATGTTCTACAGTGAGGACAGCTGAGAAGATCATCAGGGTCTCTCTCCCCTCCATCATGGACATCTACACCACACGCTGCATCCGGAAAGCCACCAGCATCGTGAACGACCCCATCCATCCCTCACACAGACTTTTTTCCCTCAAGCAATCAGGTTTTTAAACTCACAAGGACTGAAATAACAACACACACACGCACACACACACACACACACACACCTCTTTTGATGCTCTACTTGCACTATCTATCTGGAACATTGCTGCTAACACTGTGTTTACACCGTTTTACTACCTCAGTAACTGCTGTGTTTATGTATGTTATCTGACATAACTTACAGATCACATCATGTTAAATATGTCTGCACCTCATGTCCAGAAATCTGTGCTGTGTCGGTGCTACACTGTCCTGTCTGTTTACTGTGTCTAATGTCTCTTTAATTTATCGTATTTATTGTATTTATTCTATTTCTAGCCTAATTTTTTTGTACGCTGTCTGCACATTCACACTTGGTAATTTTGTATATTTGTTCCTTGTTACACCTTGTCCCTGGAGGAATGTAATTTCACTCCAATGTGTACTTGTACATAAATGAAATGACAATAAAAGCCTTGACTTGACTTGAACACAGTGTGTGCGGTGTGGGTTTCAGAATGTCTATTGTCCTGGCAGACACAAGTGCTGTGGAGCACCTGCTCCATGGGTACCCCCAACTCCCTCAGGGCTGTGTCTCTGGTGTGACAGCACTTTCTGGGCTGGTGAGGTCTCTTGTTTGTGGGGCTGGTATGGGCCAAATCTGTCTCTGTGGATGACAACAATCCATCGCCCGCCCAAACCCGATACACCACCTTGCCAGGCGCTCTTTTACCATGCACAGGCCTTCCTATGGTGACTGGTGGCACAGGTTGTACAGTCACACCTACGTCCCAGGTGCCCGTGCCCTTGTTCCTAGTGAGTTGATGCATGTCTTGGAGACAGTAGTGGAGCCCTTTGGCATACCCTGCTACAGGTATGCTGTCCTCCTCCGACTTCGGTGGGTGAACAAAGATCAGCCTTGTGGGTGTCCTGAGCGTACGGCCAAACAGAAAATGAGCTGGTGTGAACCTGGTTGACTCCTGCACGACTGAGGGACATGCCAGCAGGAATGAGGTAGATGTCAGTCCCAACTGCACCAGTGCTGGTCAGCGATGATGGTGAGCTGAGTAGGGGGCATTTGATTAAAAAACTCCATGAGGCTGTCACTCTGAAGAGGGATCAGCACAGTCCAGCCAGTCACAGACCCCAACTAGCTGGTCTCCAGTGTATTGTGGTGTTGGATCAGAAGAAGAACCAGAGTATGCCATTTTTTTGCTCAAGGAAAATGCTCTTTTATTGAACATGGCAGAAAAGGCCTGTGAATAACAGTGCGAATAGCTGGGGAGGTCACCTCAAGCCATACAACTTCACTCTGTGGTTCAGAATATCTCCATTATTCTACAACTGAATTTCAGGATCTATAGTTGGATAAAGGACTATATTTGAGAATATCTTAGTTGGCTTTGAATAACGTATCTTCTATTGTTCTGTTTTAGTCAAATCCTTTTTTATAGAATTTTTATAGCATTTTCAAAGGCAATAAACATTACAATTTCAGTCAGTTGAATATGGTATATTGATATGCAGTCATGTTCTTTATATTCAAGTACACAGCCTGCTGTATGCTAGTAAGGACAATATGGGTATTTTGGAGCTTTTACAAAATAGAAAGTAGACATGTGAACATTTTGGTATATGTCATACACAGGTTGTGGTAGGTTCTGCTAAGGGAAATGAGGTGAGGTGAGGGGCCCATGCATGACATTTTCAATAGGCCAAATATTCCTACTGTCACTCCTGGCAGGATACTGTTAAAACTTGCTGATAGTGTGCATTCCTAAAAAGAAAATGCAAAACATGTGGAGTCACATGAAAGACAGATATTATACATTAAGCTGAAATAATTAGTTACACACATGTGTAACCAACTGTGTTACAGAGTGTACATCACAGTGTATCAGTCTAGGATATGTTTTTTCTCTTCCAGCAATGTGCCTTTGATCTAGTGCCATATTTTAGAATATATTGAATATGGTTTAACTTGCAGTAGGTAGACATCACATGTGCATCATTCATACCAACACATTGTTAAGGTACTCTAAGACTAACCTTCATTTGGTTCAATCTTTGTGAGGAACAGACTGCACGTTAAATACATTCTGACATATCTGAACATTTTTTGATCTCGGAATCCATATATAAGAGGACTGAGTAGCCTTGGAATAACATTAGCCATTAAATAGGTACTGAACAAAATATTGCTTCTATAGTTTGGGAACAGTGCTAAGAAAAAGTAGTTTATAATTGGAGTAATATAGCCAAGCATACAAAGAAGGAGCTGCAGGCCATGGAGCAAAATAGTGTTCCGGGCTTTTCTGGCAGAAACCTGATCAGAGGTTGCAGCTTTAGCTGCCTGAAGAACCCTGAAGTAAGTAAAGAACAGCGTCATCCACACACATGATAAATAAAGGGACTCTACAGAGATTGTTCTGATGAGGTGCTGATTTGTGTTAAAAAGACTCTTAGGATAGCAAGTAATGGATGTTGAAAAAATACTGATGGGTTCATTCACCAAAACAATAATGATATCAGTTAGTGCAGGAATAGAAGACAGAAGCCATATCAGGCCGATGAGGATGTAGGTCCTTTTCACTGTGCAAAGCTGAGGGTGATGCAGCGGTTTGCAGATGGCAATGTAGCGTTCCAAGGCCATTGCAGCTAGATTCAGTGGAGTGTTTTCTGCAGTTGTTGTGGCAAACAGAAGCAGAAAACTGCAGACTGTGACATTCAAAAGAGGTACAGTATAAATGAGGACATGCAGAGTAACTGAAAGGAACAGCATAATTATGTCATTGATGACGAGGTGAATGTACAGAATGTATCTTGTGTCAGTGTAGAAAACTGGATTTTTAAAAAAGGCAATCACAAAGATTCCATTGATGTAGGTTATGATGATACCCAACCCAACTGTAATTAGGTTCTTCATAAAAGCTTCTTCAAAAGCATTCCGGCTTGAGTTCATCCTCACTGCAGCAAGCTTTGGATGAATTCTCTTATTAACTTAGTTTAGTCAAAGAGAAATACGCAAAATATTTGTAATTTCTGTTAAATATATACACAGAGGATACTTCCTTTTAGAAAGAATTACAGAGAAGACTGTATTAATAGTAAAGAAAGGATAGAAACATTGGATGTTGCCTCTAGTAAAGACTCCAGCAGATGTTAAGCTGCTGCTTTATACTGTTTTAGGCTCTGTTATGGTAGCTTGCTTTTCCCTTGTGGTAATGACAAAAGCAGTCAAACCTAGAGGATAACAACAACATGACATTCAACATAATAATCCTCGTCTCAAGAGTACCAAGAAAGTTTCATACTGAAACACAAGGCAATATACAACAGGTTTTACTCCACTGTGAATAATGTCTTATTTTTAATCAGCTTCCAGCATAGCAAGCAAGCAAATAAAGTTTATTTATATAGCGCTTTTTACAACAAGTGTTGTCACAAAGCAGCCTTACAGAAAAATCAGGGTCCAAGCCCCCATGAGCAAGCCAGTGGCAACAGTGGCAAGGAAAAACTCCCTAAGAGCAATAGTTCTACAACTCTCTAACAAATGTTCTGAGTGAAACCATATTAACAAGGAACTATGTAACAATTTCATAACACTTCTCCCCTTTTTTTCCCCTTTTCTGCCAAGTTTTACCCATAAAAGAATCATTATCGGTAATTTATCAATGGCTATTCTAACCTATGCATTATAGAAAATAACAAATTTCAAAAACAAGTTCAATCAATTTTGAACAATGCAAATTTAATTAACAACACTATGTTTTTAAGCTTTTTTCACAAGAATGTTTTTTTATCATTTTTTTGTTGTTTTTGTTTTGCTTTCATCCTTTTTTTCCATTAGCTCAGTCACAAAGTCAGTCTAACAGGAGGCTTGTGTTGCCTCTTGATCATTCTTAGTTTATCAGCTGAGCCTACC